AGACCGATTTCAGCTTCCCATCAGGATGAATAAATGCTCAGGGGAAAAGAGGACAAGTCATAGTGCAACCCCATAAAAAAGATTTCCTTTATTAAGCTATTAAAAATCCACTCACAAAGTGCAAAGCTGTGATGAAGGCATGTAATTCAGCAACTTCCATGACTGACTTCCTCGGGTACCAGTGACCAGTGACGTAACGTATAGGTGGAGCCTAGTGACATCACGTCCAGTATTGTGCAAACCAGGAAGTGTGTGGTGAGAGGAACCATTTTTGTCATTGGAATGACATACCTTCACTGTTTTGCACTTTGTGAGTGACAGCTTTGTGACAGCTATTTGGATCTCATCTTGAGAGTTGACAGCAACAGATTCCAAATGCAAATAGCACACTTGAAATGAACTCTGGACCTTTTATCTGCTCATTGTAATTTGAATAATGAGGGAATAACACACACCTGGCCATGGAACAGCTGAGAAGCCAATTGTCCCATTACTTTTGGTCCCTTACCAGTGGGAGGGCACATATGCAAATGTTGTAATTTCTACACCGTTCACCTGATTTGGATGTAAATACCCTCAAATTAAAGCTGACAGTCTGCAGTTAAAGCACAATCTTGTTCATTTCATTTCAGATCCATTGTGGTGGTGTATAGAGCCAAAAATGTTAGAATTGTGTCGATGTCCCAATATTTATGGACCTGACTGTATATGGGTCAAGGAAGAAGGTGAGTGCATGGCACACTCATTGGTGATGGGACGCACTTCTGTATATGTTGGAAAGTGACTTTTATTGTAGTGTGGATTTATCTTGGATGGGATTACTGGAGGATTATTTTATTTCATTTATATGTCTGGATGAGGAGTTAGCACCAGGGGCGGACTGACAACTCATGGGGCCCCCGGGCAATAGGGGATCATGGGGCCCCTGTATCCTTGCCCAAACTCAAAAAAGCCTATGAAAAACAGTACCAGGGGCATCTCATGGGGCCCCCTACTGACCCCGGGCCCTCGGGCAGTGCCCGAGTTTCCAAATGGTCAGTCCGCCCCAGGTTAGCACCCTACACATTCTTGGTTTATAAGTGAGAGTACACTTAGTGAATGGGTGCAGCGATCTTCCTTTGTTTATTTTATTTAGGGTGTAGCAGCACACGAGTGTGAGCCTTTTCATATTTATTTTATGTTTGCACTGCTGCATGCTCTTTTCATCTGTGTGGGTAGATGGATGTTGATGATAAGAAGGAAGAGGATGATGATGAAGGGGAGCAGATGGATGATGATAATGGATGGAAGGTTGATGACAAGGAGGGGGAGAATAGGGTGGAAGATGGATGAATGGATAGATGATTATGAGAAGGAGGAGGAAGAGGAGGAGGAAAATCAGGATGAGGATTGATGGTTGGATGGTGATGATGAAAAGGAGGTGGATGATGAGGTATAAATCACACTATAGGGCTTGCATCTTTCTCCTTTCCTAACTACCTACAGATCAAGAACAGGTTTTAGAGGAATTAGTGAACAAAAGCAAAATGGAGCGCTCTCATCGTGCATTACCATGGTGAAACACAAATTTATTTAAACACATATATATGAGTACTCACAAACCAAAGGGGTATAAAAACAAAGAAGAAGAGTCTGTAAATAACAGTCCAAAGTGACGATAAACCCTTGGTGGGGTAAGCTAATGTGTTTCGGGAGACGCACTCCCTTCTTCAAATGTAGACCTTCTATTCCAACATTTAGAAGACGGACTGGACCACACCCCCTCACATGACAACCCAATCTGGGTTGAGCCAATCAGGTCCACCTCCAACAAAAAATGTTGCAGCGAAAAAATGGTAATGCGCATGTGAACATATGTGGACAACCAGAATGCTTGGGGCAAAGGGCATGACAAGACGAGAAAGAAAAAAAAACCCAACAACATATAAAAGTAGAATATAGGTTTTGCCAGATGAGATGGTAAACTCATGATGATAAAACTCAACCTGCATGAAAATGGGTAAAGGAATATATAATACTCACATGGAGCTTGAAATAGATGCGTATTTCCTCACGGTAATGCATGATGAGAGTGCGCCATGTTTTGCTTTTGTTCACTAGTACCAAGACTTCCCGATCTTCTAAGGGCTGCACCTCAACATTTGGCATTTAAAGTTATCCTAGTCTGCATGAAGATTTGAGCGCTGGTTTTGTTTGTATATTTGGATAGGTATTAGAGGAATGCCCGATATAGAAGTGAAGGCCCTTTACCCACCCTCTTCTCCCCTATATCCACCTCTCCCCCAGAACCTCTTCGGCCTAATAAAGAGGGCCATTTAACCTGGGTTTCTTAACCAGGGTTCCTTCAGAGGTTACCAGTGGTTCCTGGAGCAATGAGCAATTTCTGCCTCTCAAATATGTTCCCATTAACACTATCTGAAAGGGGGTAATTCTTCCCAATGACCATAGCTGTACACAGGGCTGGGGCAAGTAGTGGGGAGGAAGGACAGCTGCTGTGGGCACAGAGAGGCAAAGGGGCAAAGAATAGATGCAGGGTGGTAGACCCATTCCACGGCATGCATTATTAGAGGGATGAGGCAGGAGCAATTCTGGATCCTTGCCCTGGGCACTGGATGACCCTGTCCCGGTATTGGCTGTAAGGAGCATTCTTCCCGATGACCATAACACTAATGTATCATGAGTTGTAGATATAGTAATTTTTTAGCAGGGTTTCCCCAAGACTGGAAAGTTATTTCAAGGGTTCCTCTGTGTTGAAAAGGTTGAGAAAGGCTGATTTAGACAATGAGTCTTGCACCTTAAGATGTTTGTAATGAAATGTAAAACACTTAATAAATATTTACTATAAAAGGCTTGGGAGGCAGAATTGAGACTTTCAAGAGAATTGTAGTCTTAGAAAATGGGGCATCTCAGTCTTCAGCTAACACTAATGGAACCAATTAAGGTTGGACCACCAATGGAGCAGCACTTATGAAGCTACAATGAGGGGGGCGGCATACCAGTCGGTCCCAAGTGCAGTTCAGAGCCTGATAAATCAGAGACTCGGCATTACTGAGCTCCCTTACCAACACACAGGCAGGTGCATTGCCCAAGCCTCAGTAATGAGGAACCTGGTAACAGTGCAGAATCAGTATCTCTGAGCACAATATATTAACTGGACAGAGACTTTTACCCAGACCCTATGCGTGTGCGTTTAAACAGGCTCTACATAACTGAGCTGACTGCCTGTGTGTGTCTTTGTTACAGAGGTCAGGTGCCATGGTGGACAAAATGGTCCATCATTATGGCTCTGGAACCAATGACCACAGAAGTAAGTAATGGACATTATGGGGGAGATTTACAGAACCTGGTACAGCTGTGCATCATAGCAAATGTCAGCTTATTCAATTAAACTTTGACAACAAAGCCTGGAAGCTGATTGGTTTCTTTGCAGAGCTGCCCAAGATTTTGCCCTCTCCAGTTTTAGTAAATCTCCCCCTATATCTATTTAAAAAGACCGATCACCCTCATTATCCCTTTAGCATTCACTGCCCAGGTATGCTCAGCCTAAGTACTGCCAAGGAATGTGCACTTTTATAAACAAATTTGAAGTATTCGGAGCTGATACAATTACAGGCCGTATGGGGTTGGGCACAGAGAATGAAAAGATGTATTATACTATAAGGCGGTGCAGGGGGGAAGGAGTTAACGCCACTCATCAGGTCCGGGAGGGAGTGTTTGGAAGCCTAGTGAAAGAGAGGAATTTCTTTGAAGTTTATCTGAAGTGGAGACCATGTATGAAAGAATAAGAACAGTCCTCCATCATTACACGCACCAACACAAAACCCACAACCTATACTCACACACTTCATATTTTAATTGAGAGGGGCCTATGTGTAACTTATTCATTCAACTAACCCCAGCCTTTATTTTTTTTAGTTAGATAGTTTTATGATTAGTCAGACTGAAAACCAAAAGACATCGCATACAACCAAGAGACTGAATAAAAAAATACGTTTGTACCCTAAGAACTCTATAGGGGATCTAGAGGAACTAGGAAAGAAAAATCCTGTAGGCTAAGTTCACATTGGCCCATTCTCTGAAAAGAGGTCCACAGTGGAACGCTTTGCAGCTTTTCAGAGCTAAGCAGCCACTCTCAGGTGTTCACGAGGCAATCCCACCACCTCCTGAATGCTTTTTATAAATTGCCAACTAGCAATTTTCAATGGGACTAATGTGTTGGTAGGTGCAACATGGTGCGGTTGCAATTAACAAATCTTGTATTGAATCAACAACCCAAAGATCCAAACAGTCCAGTGGGGAGGCACCCAGCTGGGGGCACTGACAGTTCTGCACAGATTGTAGATTGGAACAGGTTCTCATGAACCAACAGTGTCTGTCTCGGAATGGACCGGAACGAACTGGTCCGTCTAGGGTTACCACCTCGTCCATTTAAAACCGAAAGCGTATTAATTACCCAGGTTCTGTAGCTGATTAAGGTGGTAATTAAGCTCTCTTAGTGCCTTATCTGTATTAAATTAACCTCCCTGGCGGTATGATTATTTCAGATTTTTGGTGCTGAAAGCGGTACCATTTTTTTTTGCATGGAAATATGTATTTTTTTTATTGTAGGCTGTAATTTTTAGGAAAAACTCACTGAAATCTGTCCGAACAAGAGTCTAGTAAACATCCCGGGTATGATAAAATTTGAAACACAAAATCATAAATTATAATTTATAAAAATAATCATAAAAATAATATAAAAATAATAAAAAATTTAATTCAATAATATAATCAAACCAAAACCAACACTGAAATGTGAAATATAGCGCCAAGTTCGCACATTGCTGAGCTCAGTCGCAAAATCGTTTTCAGTTTCTGATGACGAATTTCCCCCACAAATCATTATCACTCAATTCTGCAAGTGGTTCTGATTTACTATCGCTGTTCTCTAGCTGATCTAAACCGCTTTTGACCTAAAGGGACACTTTTTGGACGCCATAGACATTTCTCAGTTTCCAGGCAGAAAGAACAGACAAAATGCAGGCAGGGCGCAGGATAAAGCACTAGGAACAATATGTATGTGAAATAGGTTGAAACAGCAATGTTTTACTGTGTAAAATGGAAAAAAAAAAAAAAAATGACATTTTTTAAAATTTTTAAATTTCCCGCCGCCGGCGGCGCCCGTACGTCCCGACGTCACAGGGACAGGACACAGAAGCCGGATGCCAGCATCGGCCGGAGGAGATGGCCGGGGACACTGCAGGGGACACATCGCTGGAGCGCAGGGTAAGGTAAGTGAAGAACAAATGCCGGAGCAGTGCCACATGGTATTCCCGAGTGTAGCTCGGGGTTACCGCTTTTGGTACTGAAATGTTACCCCGAGCTACACTCGGGAATACCGCCAAGGAGGTTAACCTCAGAACCTGTGTAATTAATATGGGTTTAGTTTTAAAGGGATGAGGTGGCAACCTTAGGCCTATCTGAGCTCAATGGGGAGGATTCCAAAGAAGGATGGCGTGTCTCTAGACTGTTCCTACTTGTCCGAAACCTTTCTCTACGGCTGTTTCACTATCACTGTCAGACAGATGCCCTGTCCCTATCCTATCCACTCACAAGAATGACCTTCAAATCTTGGGAGCAGGCACCTAAAATGGCTCTGCTGACCCAAGATGGCCACCAGGGTTAACATCAATGCAGCTTAGCCAACTGGAATGCTGCCTCAGGGGACCAAGGAAGCCATAGAGAAACCAAGTTTCTCTTGACCTCTACAGCTCCAGTACCACTACAGCCGAACGCCACCTACAATGCAGAACTGGGACTGCACCTGCGTTCAAATGTGCCACAGCCCCAAGAGCTTCCATTCACTTGAACGGTCAAGTTTGACAGGTGGAGGTGCTTTGCAACTGCAGCTATGGCATGCGAACAGCTCTCTCCGCCTGTATTATAGGCTTTAGTTGGACAGTCTTGGGATTGTAAAACAGTGGCTCAGCCACCTTTTATTTCTGTCGTGATTGTCTCTTGAAAGCTGTGTACTAACGATCAGATTATCGGACGATTGCTGCAAAAGCGGTATTTTTTGTTCGATTTTCTCATCGTGTGTACGAGGCATAAGTATAGAGCATTACACCTGTATACATATGAAAATATTCAAGGTCAAAATGAAATGATCCCATGAAATGCGTTGACTGATAAACATTGACCTTATATTTAATCTGCAATAATAATTGTCGAATTAGGTTGACGTTGACATTATGACCTCTTGATATGCAAAATATGTTTTCAATCTTTTGTAATAAACATTTTTATGATAAATTTCATAGTGGTTGACTAGCGGAGGCAGTGGCATTGCTATGAGGAGAAAGAGGGGAGATGGACTACATCCTGGTGACACTTGCTATAGGGGATGACACCATCTGGACTGGCACCAGCATATGCTCTGCTGATGCCATCGCCACCGGTGCTATACAAACATGGGATCCCTGGCACATCTGAGAATGCCACACTTGACATAGTACCTGCAGGGACTCCAGCAAGTAAGTGTCACCTGCTAGGATATGATACTGAGTGGGGAAGAATGCATTAGCAGAGGAAGGGCCTGCAGTGGGGAGGACCTGGGACAGGCTGAGGCTGAGACTCCGCTGAAGTAGAGTGCTTGTTTGCTGGTCTTTGGGGCCCAAGATGGAGGGAGGGGAGTGTAGACTCAGGCACTGGCTGTTTGCAGTAGAGACCATGCTGCCCCAAATGTTTCCTGACTCAAAAAACCCAGCTCCTCATTGCATCCCTCCAGCTCCCTGATCCCTGGGCACCCTGTGACACTGCTCCATGTTGTTCATCATGGGGGGGATGGGATCTGGGATCACTAAGTAACTATCCACCTTCTGGATCACCTGTGCTGCTCATCCCCACCACACCTTGGCTTTTTACCCTGTATCTGCTGAAATGCCATCATCACTGTCACCCCCCCCGCTCTGGGGGTTCAAAGTTCTAATCAGTGCCCTCCCCCCCTCCCTTACCCTTCCAGTGGCTTCCATTCTTAGGAAAGATGATGAAAGCTCTGACATACACCTGTCAGTGACAGCAATGTGTTTAGCCAGAACATGTCTCCTATGGGAAAAAAATTATTGGGGGGGGGGGGGGATAGGCGGGAGTGACAACATGTTTTACCATGCACCAAGTGACACCAACCCTAGTTACGCCAACGATCAGAGGCATATATAAAGTCCCATTTAAAGGTGTTTCCCATCATGACTCTTAATTAATTGCACTATCTTCAGTTTTGCAACATCCTTTATGTAAGTTGGTACCCAAAACTGAATTGCACATTTAAAATGGGAGATTACTAAGGCTTCGTCCTGGGGCAAAATATGTAAGTATTGTAGTGTTACTCCTGGAGGAACTGCTGGATTGTTTATTATTATTATTATACAGTATTTATATAGCACCAACGGTTTACTCAGCGCTTTACAATATAATGGGAGACATGGGAGACAGTACAGTAACAATACAATACAATACACGAGGGGTTCAAGGGCCCTGCTCCTTGGAGCTTACAATCTAGGAGGGAGGGGAGAGTGGTACAGGAGGAAATAGCTGTGGGGGATGGAGTGGTGGGGAGAGCGGAGGAGATCAGCAGTTAGGTGAGGGTGGGGTAAACTTCTCTGAAGAGATGGGTTTTCAGGGTGTGCCTAAAGGCGAGGAGGGAAGGTGACAGTCTGATGGATTGGGGTAGTGAGTTCCAGAGGATGGGGGAAGCCCTGGAGAAGTCATGGAGACGGGCATGGGAGGAGGAGACCAGGGAACTGGAGAGTAGGAGGTCTTGTGAGGAGCGGAGAGTGCGTTTTGGGTGGTAGATGGATATTAGGTCGGTGATGTAGTTTAGGGCAGTGTTATGAATAGCTTTGTACGTCAATGTTAATATTTTGAATTCTATCCGTTGGGCAGTCGGAAGCCAGTGGAGGGATTGGCAGAGGGGGGTGGCGGATACGGAGCGGTTGGTAAGGTGATGAGTCTGGCCGCAGAATTCAGGATAGACTGAAGCGGGGATAGCCTGTGTTGGGGTAGGCCTGCGAGGAGGGAGTTACAGTAGTCAAGTCGGGATATGATAAGGGATTGAATGGGTTGCTTAGTAGTTTCAGGAGCTAGGAACATGTGTATTTTGGAGATGTTGCGGAGGTGGAGCCTGCATGAATTTGTCAGTGATTGGATCTGGGGCTGGAAAGACAGATTGGAGTCTAGAATGACACCTAGTACTCTGGCTTGCGGGATGGGGCTGATGGTGGCGTTATTGGTCATGATGGAGAGGTCGGGGGGGGGGGCAAGGGCTGGGGCGAAAACTAGGAGCTCGGTTTTGGCAAGGTTTAATTTGAGGTCCTCCTGCCCTGTATCAGAGATGACTTACCATGTACCAAAAGTAACATCAACACACCTAAAACTATTGAAACTGGCTTTATATACAGGAAAAGTCCTGTAAGAGAGAAGTTCCAAGTCCTGTACTGAAGATTTATGATTCTTATTCTATTACCCTAAGCCACTGAAACAGCAGGAGACCTCTCCATATGTTCTTTTTGTTTTCAGTGAATTATGTTTGCTATTTCTATTTGAATGAATTGATTTATTTTCTCTGATTCTCTTTCCTCCATTCTGTTTGAAAATAAATGAGGCAAAGGCCGTGAACCCCTGACATCTATTCTGAGTGGCCTTGGAAGTCATACATAAAGAGAAAAGAGAAAGGAAGAAGAATTTACACAAAAAAACAAGTGTCTTTAGAAGATTTACAGTGGAACTAAACCAGTCAATTTAATGGTTTCCAAAAACAGTTACATTCAAGGTATGTGTGAACATAATGAGTATACAGTTGTGACCAAAATTATTCAACCCCCAATGCTGTAAAGGGGTTTAGGGACTATAGTGTACATTTGGAATTGTATTCAGAATCAAATCCTACAAGGGACGTTGTAACTACCCAAATGCAACTAAAATGACATCAATTGTTTATGTAATACAGTAGTAAATGGTTCTTATGTGGTTTCTTCATTGCCACAATTATTCAACCCCTTAAAGACTACCACTCTGAAGAACAGAGGTTCATACAGGTGCTTTCCATCAGGTATTGAAAACACCTGTGGATGTCACCGAGCAGCAATCAAGCATAATAAGCACCAATTAGGCAGCTTTAAAATGACTGTGATACTCAGCTCCTTCTAGACATTTACTGGTGTGGTTACAAACATGGTGAAGGCAAGAGAATGGTCCAGGAAGACAAGAGAAGAGGTGATTTCTCTTCACAGGAAGGGCAATGGCTATAAGAAGATTGCAAAGATGTTAAACATACCAAGAGACACCTTAGGAAGCATCATTCGCAAATTCAAGGCAAAGGGCACTGTTGAAACGCTACCTGGTCGTGGCAGAAAGAAGATGCTGACTTCGACTGCTGTGCGCTACCTGAAGCGTAGAGTGGAGAGAAGTCCCCGTGTGACTGCTGAGGAACTGAGAAAAGATTTGTCAGATGTGGGTACAGAAGTTTCAGCCCAGACAATAAGACGCACACTGCGTAATGAAGGCCTCCGTGCCAGAACTCCCAGGCGTACCCCTTGCTGTCTCCAAAGAATAAGAAGAGTCGACTGCAGTATGCCAAAAGCCATGTGGACAAACCACAAAAGTTGTGGGATAGTGTTCTGTGGACTGATGAAACAAAATTAGAACTGTTTGGGCCCATGGATCACGCTATGTTTGGAGGAGGAAGAACAAGGCCTATGATGAAAAGAACACCTTGCCTACTGTGAAGCATGGTGGAGGGTCAATCATGCTTTGGGGCTGTTTTGCTTCTGCAGGTACAGGGAAGCTTCAGCGTGTGCAAGGTACCATGAATTCTCTTCAGTGTACCAGGAGATATTGGATGGAAACGTGATGCAGTCCGTCACACACACCTGAGGCTTGGGAGACGTTGGACCTTTCAACAGGACAATGATCCCAAGCATACCTCCAAGTCCACTAGAGCATGGTTGCAGAGGAAAGGCTGGAACATTTTGGAGTGGCCATCGCAGTCACCAGACTTAAATCCGATTGAGAACCTCTGGTGGGACTTAAAGAAAGCAGTTGCAGTGCGCAAGCCTAAGAATGTGACTGAACTGGAGGCCTTTGCCCATGAAGAATGGGCGAAGATACCCGTAGATCGCTGCAAGACACTTGTGTCAAGCTATGCTTCACGTTTAAAAGCTGTTATAACTGTAAAAAGGATGCTGTACTAAGTACTAAGATTGAATGTCACTTGGGGGTTGAATAAAACTGATAATGCTGTGAGCACAGAAAAGACATTTGTGGTTATTTCATTATAACTGTTATGTTATATTTGTCTGACCTACAAGTGCCTCTT